TACAGAAAAGGAAACTCAGAGTTAGTAATTTGTCCACAATCATACAAGAAGCAGTGGAGGCAGGATTGGAACTCTTTCAACTACACTATGGGAAATGTCTTTATTGACTATATTAATCCTGTCATTGTTGAAAGGGCTGGGCTACATGACTCTGGATAAACCTAAAAGAAAAGGCCAGGAAGTAAGGGACTACACAGTGGAAAGCTGGGTAACCACAAGCATCACTAGAAAACTTCTAAAGGATCATGAGATTTAAAGTTAGAAGCCACCTTATAGATATAATGCAGGTTCCTGATTCTGGTCTAATCCTTTCAACTTGCAGATGAGGAAACTAAGGCCAATTGAGGTCAAATGACTTGCCCATGTAGTAGTGGTACTACTACTACTACTAGTACTACCCACTAGTAAAGTACTTCAAATCCAGGTCTTCTGAGTCCAAGTCCAATGCTCTTTGAAAACACTATGTTTCCTCATCTGTGATCTAGGTAGCACCATGGATAGAGTACTAGATTTGGAATTAGAAAAGCCCTGAATTCAAATCCTGCCTCAGATATTTACTGTGTGACTCTAGAAAAATTATTTAAGTTCTCTCAGCCTCAATTTATTCATTTGCGATATGGGGATAATAACACCTACCTCCCAGAGGTAACCTCTGCAAAGTGTTCTGCAAGCCTTAAAGAGCTATATAAATGTCAGATATTATTATTATCATTAATATTTGCACAATAATGCATCCTTGGAGCATTGTAAGGATCATCAGATATATAGGAGATGTGAAAATGTGCCAAAATACTATGTAAATGTGAGTTGCTGATACAGAAGAGGGAAAGGAGAGTTTCAGATGTATAAACAGGTGTATCCCGTAGGAAATTAAGTAGCACTACGGCTCCCAGAAGGAAATGGTGATGTCCCAAGGCCGGACTGAGTGTTGTGTATCCAGATTTCCACTCATTAGCATTTGTTGCCTTAACAATTGCTGTCAACATATCTCCTGGGAAGGAATCACAGAGTCAAACCTAAATTTAGAAACCCTGTAAGTGACAAACATTCCAATGTATTCAGGAAACTATTTATGGAAAGTGAATCTGCATTAGTGTTTTTTAGCCCAAAGGCAAAAGATCCCTCCCAACACCCAAACAGAGAAGGAAATAGGCAGAAAATTTATCAGAGACTATAAATTTTCAAAATACAATATTCATGACACACAGTCTGCCAGTGATTAGCTGTCCACTGCTTATATTACCATAGAGTCATAGACCTCACTGCCACAGTCCTGAGTGGCTAAAAACATTAGAATTTCAGAAAAATGGAGCTTTAAAAATAAATAAATAAAATGAGCTCTAAAAGATTTCATTACCAGGTAATCGTAACTACCTTCTCTGGGGTCCAAGTTATTGTTTGAAAGAAAAAATACACACATATGCACACAAGCAACAAAACCACTATTTAGTTCATTAAAATAAAGCATCTCATAGTGCTTGGATAACTACCAACTGAACACTTGTGAGTCACCAATATTTACTAAGGTCCATTGTGAAAAAGAAGGCTGTGTAAGCACTTGAGAAGCAACAATGGAAAGAGGAGAGCAATTCTATCCCTCGGGGCATTTGAGGAGTTTATAGTCTACCTATGAAGTTGACAATGACCTCAGGAAGAATGATACTCAGAACCGAGGCTAAGCAAAACCTCTAGAGAGAAGCCCATAGAGAAATCTATTATGTTGATGAGCAAAGCTTTTCATAGGCAAGCACTTTCTTTGCACAGATGCGATGTCACAAAATCTCAATATCTTGATGTTGGAAGGGACCGCTGAAGTTAGCTAGTCCAATGCTCACCTGACCTCTATAAACCTTCCCAGAAAGTGATCATTCCGTATCTCTCTGAAGATCTTCAGGAAGGGAGCCCACTATCTCCTAAGCCGGACCATTCAATTTTGGGACACTCTAATAGAGGATCTGGTATCTAGTGGGTAATCCCAAGTCCCCTTAGTTTGGGAAAAACAATTCAGACCAACTTAAAGTGACAAGAGGAAACAAGCTGTTAGCATCAGGTATGAAAGGAAACTATAATTATGTGAAAGCCTATCTGGAGTCAAAAGGTCTGTCTTCAAATGCTGGCTTTGTTACTTTGGTGACTCTGTGTTGGTGAACAAGTCATTTCACTGCACTGGGTCTCACATTCCTAATCTGTAAAATCAGAAGATTAGATTTGATGATCTCTAAGTTTCCTTCCAACTCTAAATCCTATAATCCTATTCTACTGGCATATCCAGCAAAATGTTGTTGTTGACCAGCATCTTGCAGGATCTCATACATCATCTCACCTCTTACACCATCTGGTTCAACCAGTAGTTGACCTAGAATCCTTCTAAAACATCCCCAGAGAGTGGTCCTCTAGCCTTCTTACCGTGGCCTTAGATGAAGCTGCTAGCCAAGCCTGTTCCAATTTGGATGCCTCTAATTAAGACTTTTTTCCCCTTAAATCTTTTTTTTTGTTGTTGTTTTTTAGGCAGTGGGGTTAAGTGACTTGCCTAGGGTCACACAGCTAGTAAGTGTTTGTGTCTGAGGTTGGATTTGAACTCAGGTCCTCCTCAATCCAGAGCCGGTGCTCTATCTACCTCGCCACCTAGCTGCCCCTTTTTCCCCTTAAATCAAGCTGAAATCTGCTTCTCTGCTAATTCCCATCCAGTGCTCCTAAATCTACCATATGAGGGACAATGAAATGGGTCAAATCCCTCTCACAGATACATGCAGAGAGTTATGCTATTCCCAGTTGGTCTCCTCTTATTTAGGATCCAGGGTCCCAATTCATTCCAGTGAGCCAGGTATGGGTTAAGTTTGGGGTTAAAGTATACTGTTCTTTACATTACAAAAGATACACCGTGGTTTTCACCTGGAAAATGGAAGGAACACTGAGGATATTTAGCTTAGTAGAACACTTGGGGAAGGGTCCATGACAGGTGCTTTAAAGTCTCTTAATGGTTATGGGGGGGGGAGTTAAATTTGTGCTTGGTTCTGAAGGACAGGACTCATACCAACAGGCTGAAGTTTCAGGGAGGGAAACCAGCTCAGCGTGAGGATCACCACCGGTTCATAAGTTTTGAACTAGAAAGAACCTTGGAGATAACTGAGTTCAATTCCTTCTTACTATAGATAAAGAAACTGCAGCTCAGAGGTTGAATCCAACAGCTAGTCAATGGCAGAATCACGATTTGAACCCAGGTGTCTCCTGGCTCCAAGCTCAGTTGACTTTTTACTGTACCAGCTAACCCTTTTTTCTAATAATTAGATATGTTCAAAGGCAGAAAAGTACTGGGGGTGGGGGGAGGCAAGGCAGATTGGAAAGAGGTCCCTGTCGCAGCAGTTCTTCAGGTTAGAGACAAGGTCTGTGCTCTGCATAGGAGTTAGACTGAACAGGCTTTTCAGTTCTTTCCAACTCAGAAACCCTAGAAGTCTATGACTACGAGAGAAAAACCCTACTTGGAGCTTGGTATGGATGGTCACCTTGTTCCTTCACGAGAAAGCTTCTCCTGAGTTGTGCCTAAGGTAATGTCAACTTGCAAAACAACAGTGGAGCCTTCTATCATGAATCTCAATATTATGCCATTGTGCTGTGTAGGAGCTGGGGAAGGGAGGAGGCATTTCCTATGCTGTCTCACAAAAGAGCAGGACTTTTAAATGTGAATGAAGTCCACAGAAATAAAATTTTAAATGGATCACATAGCTTTGCAAATAAAAGTTCTCTTCAAGGAGGAGAGAGAGGACTCTTCACCTTTCATAGTACATGAAACCAGGTTGGATAGTTACATACATATCAAGAAATGGTTTTAATTTCCTGCAATAATCTCGCCTGTTCCCTGTTTTAGCTGACAATGCAAAAAAAAAATGTTTCTCAGTGCCTGGAAACACACTGTTGCACACAGATGGAGTTTCCTTTTAAGACTTTTCAGCATTCAAATGCCTGGAATCATCCTTCCATTTCTAAGGACTGTTCTGTTCTGTCTGACCACACAATCTTGCCCCTATTGGTGTAAGAAATTTCTCAGCAGTTCCTGCCATCTGGAAAATCCTTTTAGTATCTCTGCCTACTGATACTGTATTCTCTTCCAAATCTCAGCAGAAAACAGACTGTTGGGTTTTTGGTTGTTTTTTTTTTTTAGAGGGGGGTCATGTTATTTTTATTTACACATCCCTCTCAACTGCCCCTCCTTCACCTACTGCCTCTTTGACTTTGGCCAGGGTACCACCCCTCTCTAAGCCTCAGTTTCTCTCCCCTGTAAAGTGAGGGGAGGGGTGAGGTGGACAAGATGATCTCATGTCCCTTTAACCCCTATAATCCTAAGGTTACAAACAAATTACTTGGCGTTCATAGGACTTAGAGTTAAAAGGGACCTAGGAAATCACCTTGTTCAACCTCCTCATTTTACAGAGGAGGAAACTGAGGCACAGAAACGGGAAAGTGACATATGTAATTCACAGGAAAGCAGCTCCCCCAAATAAAAATAGCCCACAATTCTAGTCCTACTTGGCAAGTTCTCTTGATCTCTCGTTTCCCCAAACCGCTTCGGAAGTATGGCCTGGAGTGACTAAAAAAATCATGCACCCAGCCCTCTGTAGTTCCAGCTCGGACAGAAGAGCAAATGCAGCTGAAATCCTGTTGCCAGTCTCTAATACTCTTAGAGCAAAGTACTTCTCTTCAGTCACCAACCCAAAATTAACACATCTCCCAACCACTCCCCATTCTTCCACTCCTCCTCTCCTACCGCTTCCCCCTTCCCCCTCCACACACCTCCATCTGAGCCACTTTGACGAGATGAAGACACCACCAGAAACCTTTCAGGGTTACCAGGAGTTCCAACAGGATTGACACCGTCCATGCGCGGCCTCCCCGCCTTCCCACCCGCCCCCACTCTCCAAACCAAAGAGAATTCTCGGGGACAACAGCCCCAGCTAGTCGGGAATAGCCTTCGCTATCACTGCGCTGGCTTTGCTGCTCCTTACCTTCGGAGACTTCAAACTCCGTTGTCCCATTGAGCTGATACAAGCACCAGTCAACTTCCTCTTCGCCTGGGGGGCCGCCAACTAGCAAAGAGCGAAGGGAAAGCTCAGTCAGTAACTTTAGACCCCGGCTAGGAGCCCGCGCCTCTGCCCCCCAGCTGCGGAGGGAAGCTGGCAGGCAGGCTGGGAGGGCTCTAAGGAAGGGTGCGATGGGGAGCATCAGCTGGGAAGAAGGGGTGGGGTAGGGGCGGGGAAGACAAGGCAAAAAAGAAGAGAAAAAAAAAGCAGCAGCAGCTAACCCGGCTTCTGTGACATGAGTCTGACGGAGACTCCTGGCAGGAGGGTTGGCCAAGAAGGAGTGCGCTCCGAGGTTGTTTCGGTGTCAGAGCCAAGGGCTCCCTGGGGTGGGCGCGCAGGGCGCCAGGCGCTGCTCCTGCTCCCCCTCCTGCTGCCAGCCCTCCCTCTCCTCCTGGCAGCCCTCACCCTCCTCCTCCACCACCTCCTCCCGGTTTTGGCCCTCTTCTTCCTCCTCCTAGCTCTCCCCCTCTCCTCCGCGTCCTCCTCCCTCCTCTCCTCCCGGCAGAGCTGGGTGGTACAGGCGGGCAGAGCAGACCTAAGCAGCTGCCCGGGGGAGGAAGCGGAGGAGGGCGGGGAAGGCTGGAGGCAGGGAAGGCGGCTCCACTCCAGCTCGGGCTCCGCCCGGAGGGCGGGGAGGGAGTCTGGGCGCCTGCCTGGGGTCTCCAAGGTTCCGCTTGCTCTGTCTCTGTGTCTCTGTCTCTGTCTCTGTCTCTGTCTCTCTCTCTCTCTCTCTCTCTCTCTCTCTCTCTCTCTCTCTCTCTCTCTCTCTCTCTCTCTCTCTCTCTCTCTCTCTCTCTCTCTCTCTCTCTCTCTCTCTCAGCACCGGCCAAGCCCCAACAGGTGGATGGATGGCTGTACCGATGCGGAGCTCAGAAGAGTCCGGGTTGGGGGAGGGGGAAGTGACCCTCCCGGGACCTCTCTCCTGGGAAGAAATAAAACCAGGAGCCTCGAAGACCATCACTCCGCCGCCCACCCCTCAGCCCCGCCTCGCCTGCTAACTAGGAGTGTGGGGAAGGAGTGACAAGCAGCCGAAAGCTAGCAGGGCCTCTTGGGGTCAGCAAGCAGAGGGAGGTAAGAGAACAAAACTTGGCTTGAGAGTCAGAGAACCTGGGTTTGAATCCCCTTCTTGAAGAGTCAGGTTGTTCCTCGGTAAAACGAAGTGAACCTTCCCAGCTTTCAAGTCCCGTGAGAATCCTTTTCTTCCTTGGTTGTATTTGGACGGGAGAAATTCCAGGGAGATTGCTTAGTGTTAAAAATCTCCACCCGGTTGGCAACTTCCACAGAAAAGGGTACCCTACGCCCTTCGGACCCACGTGTTTGTTTTGATAAGTCTGATTTCTCTGGCCCAAGTTCCTTGGGAAGGAGAGAAACCGAGGGAGTCTTTCTTCTGGCCTCAGGGCAACGTAAGATGGGAGGATATTAACTCCCCTCTGCTACCTAAGACTATCTATTGAAGGGCCCTTTCTCCCCTCTCTCCCTGGCTTAGCGTGTAGGGCTGGCTCACAGAGTTCTGGGGTCAGGGAGAGGGGGCAGACGGAATAAGAATGCCAGGAATGATCTCGGGGTAGGAGAATTTGTCTCATATCCATGTTGGGCTGCTTGCTGAGGTACACACCGAGTTGTTTTTGCCTTTTTGGTTTTTTTGTTGTTTGTTTGTTTGTTCCCAATAGACCCAGTGCCTGAAAGAAGGTCAGGCATTATTAGAAGGAAAGAGAGACCAAGAATCAGAAGGAAGAGGATCCATGATGGCTTCGGGAAGAAGAGAGGGAAAGACCCTAGGCCAGATTTGTTTATTAGGACCACGGAATTTTGAGCTGGAAGGGATCACCAAGTCCAAACACATTTTAAGATAAAGAAACTGAGACAGAGAGAGGTGTTCAAAGGCAAACATGCAGCAAACTCCAGAACCAGGATCCAAGCCCAGTTTCCTCTCTGCACTAACGCCAGGGCTATCTCCATTATCTTAACTGACTGTAAGACTAAGTGGAAGAAGTATTCACGGTAAGGTTGGCCCTCAGACCTCGTGTTCTGAGTGCTAGGAAGGGACTCCTGCCCCCTGAAAAACCAAACTCACCACTGCCTCCTAGATGACTGAAATTCCACCAGAATTGTTATTCCATCAGAATTTTTTTCTTTGAAATGAAACAGAGCATTTGTCCTCTTTTAAAATGTAAATGCCTTTGAGAAGTAAGTCAGTTATGTCATTCCTTTGCACCTCAGTGCAAATTGGCTTCTCAGTGTCTTTCCAAGGAGAGCTAGTCTCTGAAGCCCTTGAACGTTTACAAAACACCTTCATTACAGATGTGGGAGGTAGGGAGGTGGGTAGATGGGTAATAGGTAGGTAGATATTATTATCCTAATTTTCCAGATGACAAAACTGAGCCGGAGGTTGGAAAGTGTCACGGAGCTAATGATTGATCATAGCAGCCTCAGGCTCAGGCCTTCTTTGGACTCTAAGAGTAAGATTGTCCCATTATGAAACTTTGCCTCTAAAGTATGCCTCACTCAGGCTAGGAGTAGGTTTTGATAGGGGGAAGGTAAAGAGAGCAGAGAGGAAGAGGGCACTTAGGTGCCTGAGAGAAGAGGGCAAGGATCTAATGAGATAATGTATTAAAGCCAACTATTATTAATTTCTTTATTTATTAATTTTTGTTTTCCCAGGACAGAGTCTGATGGAGCCATTTCTTCAAGTGGACAAAGGATCTTAGCACTACCTTCTCAGAGCAGTTTGGGGGTAAAAATGGAGGGAAACATTTCCTCTACAAGATTTACAATATCTTGTTTTTCATCAGCCAACAACTTGTTCTGAAAATAGGAAGAGGCTAGACCTTAGCATGAGCAAATTGGGAATTTGGGCATTAAAGATTTGGGTCACAGTAACAATCTGGTTTCCTGTGGGTCACTCTATTGAAGTGGCTCTCAAAATTACCTCCTAATCACCAAATCCAAGGTTCTGTTGGATCCCAGGCCTTATTCCCCTTTAACCCTCTTCTGTGACTACCTCCCCCCACCAAAGACTAGTGCCTTCCCCTCTCTTCCATCTGCTCTGTATTTATTTGTCTCCTTCATTAGACTGCAAGCTTCTTGAGATTAAGGACTATTTTTGCTTTTTCTTTGTATCACCCTGAACATAATAAACTATTAAGAAATGCTAGTTTGTTGATTGATGGATTGATTTGACATTGTTCTGCTCCCCCTTTCTTGAAATTCTTCACTCCCCTGGCTTTTGCTTTCCCTGGCTCTCTCAACCTCTTTGGCCAACGGTCACCTCTCCCACTCTCTAAAGGCAAATTCTCAATGATGCAGTCAACTTCCCCTCCAATCTATCCTACACACTGTTGCCAAAATAACAATAACAATTTTAATAGGTACCTCTCTGGTCTTCTCACTCTCTGACTCAAAATGACTTCCCACTTCCCATTTGTTAAAATGGTTTAAGAGTCTTTGGCCTGGTATTCAAAGCCTTCCCCTAACAATGTTCCAACCTCAAGCTTCCTTTTTCTTCACCTTATGCTCTAATCAAACAGTGATGTCCACTGTTCTCCCAAAACTTCCTATTTTCTTCTGCCCTCGTGCCTTTGCATGCCTTATGCTATATCAGAGTAAATTGTTAGTATTTTCTTTACTAGATTGTAAAGGCAGCTTGGCATAGTAGCTAGCTAGCTTTGGGACCTAGGAAAACCTGGATAAAAGTCCACCTCCTTTTATATACAAGTACTGTGTGATTCTGGGAAGGCCTCTTAACCTCTCAATCCCAGGCAACTATCTAAGACCATGAATTGCTGATCTTAGATAGAGGGAGTTCACTACACAGATAATAATAATTAATCAGGGATTGGCTCAGAGTGAATGTAAATAGCAATGGTTTCTGTTTTGACCAGAAACCCTGAGGCTCTTCCCTTCCTGGATTGCTTTTTTTTTTCCTGTGTAAAAGAGACCATTCTCTGCCTCATTTCTTACCTAGCCTTGGTCATGGAATGGGAGTTGCCTCAATCAAACTGAGACCTGTTAAAGACCTTAGCTTAAAAAGGCCAAGGTCTCTCACTGAATCCAGGGCCATCTCCAGTCATCCTGATCTCTCTTAACACTGGACCCAGATGGCAAAATGAGGAAAAATGAGGCTGGTGACTTTTCACAGCCCTGCCTCACTTAAATCCAATTCACTAATTCACGGCATCACCTCTCCAATGTCATGGTCCTTTTCGAGAACAAAGGATAAAATAACAATTAATAAAAATAATAGCAACTACCATTTATATAATGCCTACTGTGCATAGCACTTTACAGATATCTCATTTGATCCTCAAACTACCCTGGAAGATAGGTACTATTATTATTCACATTTTACAGATAAGGAAACCAAAGCAGAAGAGGTTAGATGACTTGCCCCAAGTCACACAGATTGTGTCAGAAGCCACATTTGAATTCACATCTTCCTGACTCCAGGCCCTCTGTTCTATCTGCTGTACCACCTAGATGCCTCTAATAGATAAAATTACAGGTTTCAAGACAACAGAAAAACACTAGATTGTATATTCCGAAAATGTATCTTATTTGTCTTTGCATTCCCCACGTAGCATGGTGACTGGTTTTTGTTCATCAAGTCTTCCTTGGGTGAATGAATCTGTAACAGTCTGGTGTAGTGGGAAGTTTGCTGAGTGTAGAAACTGTGGTATTAGATTCATGTCCTAACTCTTACTGACAGTGTCTGTTTGACACTGGCCAAATTACATCACCTCTTCGGGCCTCAGTTTCCTCATCTGTAAAGTAGGGATAATAATTTGTGCACTCCCCGCCATAAAGAACTGTTGTGAGGGAAGCATTTTGTCAACTTTAAGGTGATCTAGAAATGAGATTTGTTATTACTAATAATCTTACTTCCCAAAAAAAGTTTCTTTAAATTGGCCTCTCATTTTCAGTGCAGTAGAAAGTTATCATAGAAAGAGCTAGGGAAAGGGAGCCTAGAGGTATAAAGTGAGCAGAATCCCTGAACTGTTTGAGCTAGGTAGAAAAGAAAGAAAACACTGTGGGTATTTTCTACCCTAATGGGAAAGAGAAGAAGAATAAAAGCTAGGATTTGGGGGTTAAAACTTTTAATGGGGCCAAGCCTTTTTGAGGGAAAAGACAACTGAGTGAGGTTGGTGGGAGGTAGGGGGGAACTACAATAAAGAGAATTACATTTCTTGCCAGGATTATGTTTTGGCAGTCTCTCTACTAGGATACTATATTAGGTTTTTTAGTGATGTTACTTAGGTTACCAGTACTGAGTGCTGTCAGAGGGAGACTCATTGCCAAATTGGCTTTTCTTCCAAATTAAAGGCAACACTAATGTTCCCGATTTGAATAAAAATACAAGAAATGCCAAAGGGCTGGTGCTCAGAGATGAAAAGACATGTCCTCATTTCACAGAGTCCGCAGATTTGGTTCGCTGGCCCAGCTTCTTACTCTAACTTGGGATGTGTCTGGGTAATGTACATCATGTGCTGCTGTATGTGGGAGAATGTGTCCAATTTGTATCATTTTCAACTGGCCGTGTCCAGCTTAGCAGGTGGGGCTTGGTCTGCAGTGGTCAAGTCCCAGTGCCAAGCTTCTGCATTTAGGCTGTGTCTGTGGCATCTGTTCTCAAGAAGAAGAGAAGGGATGCTTATTATGCAGGAAAACAGGAATCCTTGTCATGGGAAAAAGCACTAGACTAGCTGGGCTAGCACTGGACTTGGATTCAGGAAGATTTGAGTTGAAATACAGCCTCCACAACTTACTAGGTGTGTATCCATGGGCAAGTCACTTCATGTCTTAGCCTCAGGTTCCTCATCTGTAAAATGGGTATAATAATAATATCCATGCTACTTACCTCACAGGGTTGTGGTAAAGAACAAATAAGATGATATATGTAAATAGCTTTGCAAACTTTAAAGCACTATATAAATCAGTGTTATTATTATTTATTTATCATAATAATAATTAGAATACCTTGCTTTTATTCTGGCACTATCTGTATGACCTTGAGTAAGACACTTTCCCTCTCTTGGCTTAATTTATAGAAGAAGCTCTATAAAATGAGAGGATTGAACTTGATAATCTCCAAGGTGCCCTTCATCATTGATATTTTATGTTTTGAATCTAAGGTGCAGATTCTTAACCTGGGAGCTAGGAACTTATTTTCTTTTTTTTTTTTTAATTCCACTTAATAGTATTTTTTTTCTAATTACATGTAAAGACAGTTTTCAACATTCACTTTTATAAGATTTTAATTGTTTTCTTAATATTATGAAAACTGCATTTCAATATAGTTGGTTTCCTTTGTAATCCTATGTATTTTATTTTATGCATTTAAAAACATTCTGAGAATGGGTGTGTAGGCTTCACCAGACTGCCAAAGGGTTCTAGGATATAAAAATGAGTAAGAACTCTTCTTAGATTTCTTCTAACTCTAAAATTCCACATTCAAAGGTCCCTTCCACCTCCAATATTCTATGTTCTAAGCTTTCTTATATTGTCTCCCTTTCTGTGTTCTACATTGTGATTTCTATATGTCTGTCTGGCTCTCACATTCTGTGTTTTAAGTGAGGTCTCTTCTGGCTTTGATGTTCTATGACTCCAAGCTATTTTGATTGTTTTCCAAAAAAAACCTAATCTCTTGAGTTATAAATTAATGTTTCCAAAGACAATTGCTACACGGGGACACTGTAATCAGTCATAGACTGTAATTAGCCTTGGGTTCCCTCTGTGGAGGCCAGGTAACATTTTGTTGTTATGGAGGAGGGTGCACCTACAGCAGGCCTTCTCAACCTTTTTTGGTGACATGGACCCCAGTAGCAGGCTGATAAAGCCTATGGACACCTCAGAATCATGTTTTAAAATTTTCAAAGTAAAATACACAAGATTACAAGTGAAACCACTTTACAATAGTGAATACAGTTATAAAAATATTGTTTAAAACAAATTCATGCATCCCAGGTTAGGAGCTTCTAAAGAGGGAAATCCTTGAAATGATCTATTCCAATAATAAAATGAAAGACACTTTGGGTAGTAGTTTCTAACTCCTGTGGTAAGAAAGTTGAAATTACAGATAGTTCCTTATTGTGGTTGTTATTATTGTTTGTTCCCCTTGAAGGGGAACCCTTTGAGAACCACTACATCAGGGAGGTGATGCCGTGATTTGCAAGTGAATTGAATTTAAGTGAAGGGAGGGCTGTGCAAAGTCACCAGCCTCACTTTTTCCTCTGGAGACAGCTGGGTCCAATGGCAAGGTACAGATCAGGACAGAGATGGCCCTGGATGCAGTGGGAGACTTTGGCCTTTTTTAAAGTTAAAGTCTTCAATAGGTCTCATTTTCAGGTCCGTAGCAGGGCGTAAGAGGAGTCCAGTGAGGAGGTCTTGAGACAGCATGAATATAGTGGGAACCTAGAGTACAGAGAGGGCACTAGGTGGGCATGTATGACACAGTGCGACGTAGTAGAAAGAGCCCTGGGCTTAGAGATAGGGCACCTGGGTTCAATTCCTAGCTCTGACGCTTATTAGCTACATCACCTTGGTTAAGTTCACCCAGAACTGTAAGTCAAGACAATTCTAGATTTTCCCAAATATATAGAAACTTAGAGTCCAGGGACATCATTTGTATTCTTTTTAGCAGGTAGGAAAATGAAATTTAGCACCTAGTTAGCAAGTTAAAATGGAAAGCTACCAGATGGTCTGCTTCCTCCCCAGGTGGCCTGGCCCTACTCTGCTCCTTCTCCCTTTGTTGGCAAGTTTCACCTGGCCTACCCATCGGAGTTTCTATCCACTGGGATCTTCTTCCACCCTGTCCTATCTTCTTCCTACCCCTCCACCACAGATTTTGAGGTCTGAGGGTGCTCCCTTTCCCCTTTTCTTGTTGAGTTGAGGGTAGTCTCCATGACGCTTACCCGGAGTGCCAGAATTGCTAGTTATGGCTCTGAGCTTCATTTTCCTCATCTATAAAATAAGAATGATACTAATTATGTTACCTACCTCACATGGTGGTTATGATGAAAGGACTTTGTCCATACTATAGAAATAGGAGTTATTATTATTCCAGGTGATGAGGGCTGCCCATCAATTTCAATGCCATCCCCTAGGAGTAGTGAAGAATTGGGGGGGGCATCTAAGAGCTGATATAATCTCTGGTTACTCCATCAGCAGTTTGCTCACTAGGCTCAGCCCTATTGACAGCCTCTGGGAATGGGAAGGGAGTGGCAGTCCACTTCCCCACCCCGTGCTGCTGGTCCCCTTGTCAGGCATCTTTGCCTTGTACCATTCTTACAAGGCTATTCTATTAGTTAGTCTTATACTCATGGGTGTGGGTCCACCCTCAACCAGTATGATCACAGCCCTTCCATGCCTTCCCAGCCTGTGTAATTCTTGTCCATACCTGTAAGTACTCCATAGAGTATCTACCAAAGGCATTAAAAGCCATGCTTTGGTTACTTCAATATTTTATGAATACTTGTGGTGGCATAGTGAGGAGAGTGCTGGACTTGGCAACAGGAAGACCCAAATTCTAATCCTGCCTCAGATATTTACTAGCTAGGTAACCCTGGGAAAGTCATTTGGTCTCAGACTCAGTTTATTCATCTGTAAAGCTGGGATAATAATAGCGCCTACCTCCCAGGTTTGTTGAATGAATCAAATGAGTTAACAGGCAGCGTGTCCCAAAAGTCTTAGTGCAGTTGAGGCCTTCACTAGTTTAAAACTGCACTAAAACTTTTGGGACACCCGCTTGCAAAGAGCTTTGCAAACCTTAAAGTTCTGTATAAATGTTCGTTATTATTACTAGTGATCAGTTATTCTGGCC